GGTTTGTATTTGGGAGGTTTTGGGTTAAAAAATATTAGTTTGACTAGATTGAGGATGATGACATGAGCAATGCATACAATATTTTGGTTGTTAAACCTGAAGGAAAAACTCATGAAAACTAGACATATCATTAAAATTTATCTTAAACTGGGCAAGAGAGTATATATTTGGTTCAGGTTCTTGTAAATATGGTAATTAACATTAAAATTCTTGAAAGTAGGGAATGTCTTGGCCCAACTGTTGACCAACTGTAATTTTCTCAAGAAGGATCCAATGCCATGTAGTTAGTTAATATGCAAAGCATACAGAAATGTGTGTTAGTATGTTGCTGAATTTGTCTTATAAGTAATTTTATTCTAGTGTCAGGTGTCGGTTTTAATACTGGTTGGATCCAGTGTACATTTTTATACATGTCTTCCCCTGATTTTCACAAGTGATGAATCAGAACTTTCTGAATGTAGAAAATACCGTCCCTCCACCTATGCACTCGTGCACTGAAAGTCCTTGTTAATTTGTATCATCATCACTCAGTCATTCTAGAAAGTAGACCACTATCATATTGACAATCTTACCTCATTGACTGGCGACATTAGAAGACAATTGTTATTGACCTTATTGTACTGATTTCAAATGTGATTTGCCATTTGCTCGTGCACGTATTAATGCCAAGTTACCTTTTGGTTGTCAGGTAACATACTGTCGTATTTGTTCCCAAAATATGGCCGAAATGAGGCTAAGAAAAGGGAGATTCTGTCGGCGGCAGCTGCAGCTGGCGTCTCTGTAGCATTTGGTTCTCCTATTGGAGGAGTGCTGTTCAGTTTGGAGGAAGTGAGTATGATTTGGAAGTAGTGTGTCTGCAGTTTTGTGGGTAATCTTTATTGAAACTTTGTTAGCAAATTCCTGATGGCCATGTCTTAACTAATTGTACGGAGAAGCAGTCGAGAAACTCCCTGCCTCTGTGAGAAACCTGAAGTTTTATAACATTGTCTGTGGACCTTGAGAACCTCAAGTCTTACATGTTATAACATTGTCTGTGGACCCTATCCCAAGTTACATTAATCCAGTTCACAACCCCACACCTTATTTTATTCAGGTCTAAAGTCCAAACCATAAAGCTGATCACTTTCCTCCATCTTTTGCCAAAAAAATTAATGTGTGGTTTGACAGTATTATGGAAATCTTGGCACAAGTTTGGGTGCATTATTTCAACAGCTGACACATGATCTTTTTTAAAACATGCAGTGGTGGTTCTTAGTGTGTTAAGTTACTAGAAGTAATTTTAATCTCAAAATGTATTTAAATATTTGTTGTTGTATTTATTATAATTTTTTTCAGGTCAGCTATTACTTCCCACTTAAGACTTTATGGCGGTCATTCTTTTGTGCTTTGGTGGCAGCTTTCATCCTCCGCTCAATAAATCCATTTGGAAATGAACATTCTGTTCTATTCTATGTGGAATATAATAAACCATGGATATTCTTTGAACTAGTTCCATTTGTTGCCTTGGGAATTATGGGGGTGAGTGTTACATAGGTTACAGAACTAATCATAGAATGTTTTAATTGCATTCACTGAGATGGCAATAGTGCACATAAACACTTAAAGAGTGTGTAATTTCTGTTAACAGGGTGTGGTAGCTACTATATTCATTAAGGCTAACTTGTATTGGTGCCGCTACCGCAAGGTTTCCAAGCTGGGTCAGTATCCAGTGACTGAAGTGCTAGTCATTGCCGTGATCACGGCAGTTATAGCATATCCAAATCCGTACACTCGGATGAACACGAGTCAGCTTATCTTCTTGCTCTTCAGCCAATGTGGTGTCTCAAACTCGGACAATCTCTGGTAGGTAGTATATATAGTGCTCTCCTAACGGTATATTTTACTGAATCAAATTTATGTCATCTGTAAGTTGTGTCCATATGTAGCTGAAATAGCGAAACAGGAAATTAATGTAGATTTCTTGGAACAACAAATTAGAAAACCAATATGGGATGGAGTTGGAGAGATAGTATATTAATCATGATGTAGTGGTAATATGGATTGGATTTAGGAGGCTGGTTTTTCGTGTTTTTATGTTAGAAGTATTGAACCTTGAACTTTCATATTCCTTCTCCAGATGATTGAATTACCATATTTATCAAAATTACCTACGCACCTTTTTCCTAAAAGTTTTGCTTAAGAAGCCAGATGGATGTCATGTTTGAGGATTCGGTTTGGGTAACAAAATGTTGCACATCGGAAGATACAGGATACAGTCGTTATTTGGCAACATCATTTGTGTGACCTGTATCGACCATAAAGTAAAATAATAAACTTGAACTTCAAAACTTTCTCCTTTCTTGCAGGAGGAAGCAGTAGGGGTATCGTTAATTGTCAGTCCCTGTAAAACAGCCACACTATTTTTTAATTCACCGCAGGTTTAGGATCTACTGTAATTATTTATATCAGTTTCTTTGCATCTGCACTTCATAGTAGTGATTTTGGCTTGGCTTGTTATGGTTTGATTTGTGCAACAGGGTTGTAAAGCATGTGTTCACTGGTCGAAAGTTTCTGCACAGTCTTATTTGATTTATTGTCACACACACATTGCATATCTGCCACGGTGGTCTAGCGGTTAGAACGCTGGCCTTGTAATCCTGGGGTCTCGGGTTCGATTCCCGGCGGTGCCCGAATTTATAACTTGTGTTGGGCAAGGCCGTGGTCTAGGCAACACGGAGTTTTCCTCCGTGGCATCCCAACAATTACTCCATTCACACACAGAAGAAGGCAATGGCAAACCACTTCTGGATCGTCTGCCAAGAACATATATGAACAGGTCCCAGTCCGAGTAAAGGATGGAAGGATCCTGTTCATATGGACCTGTCGTCAGACAGAACACTACAAATAAAAAAAAAAATAATAACACATTGCATATAGTGTGCATACAGCAGATGTTATAATTGGGCTTTGATGCTTAACCAAGTATGTACAGAGGGTGACATACTAACGTCCCTCCCTCCTAGTTCACCTTCAGTAAGGTGTCAAGGCAAATGACATGATTAAACACAGCTGTTGGAAATTAATTAAACATGTTCATGTACTGTCTATGAAAAACAAAAAAATTGTATTATAATCATAATAAATAGGGAATCCTGCCAAGATCAGGCAAGAGTCTAAGGATGCATAGAACTTTATCTTCAGTCCCCCATTTAACCCTCATGATGCCACGGTTGGGCATGAGATGAATTTTCTTTATGTGTCTGTAATTTATCTCCTTGTTATGACTTGAACATTTTATTCCATTGCAGTGATTACAACCGTAACTTCACAGACGTAAATTCTGCCATTGAAAAAGCAGCAGCTGGTCCAGGGGTTTACAAAGCCGTGTGGCTCCTTGTTCTGGCTCTTATATTCAAGTTGGTGGCAACGATCTTCACATTTGGCTTCAAGGCACCATGTGGTCTGTTTATCCCCAGTCTTTGTCTGGGTGCCATAATGGGTCGGATTGTGGGCATCGGTATGGAGCAGCTTGCTTACAATTATCCACATATTTGGCTGTTTAGTGGGGAGTGTTCCACTGGAGATGACTGTATCACCCCTGGCTTGTATGCCATGGTGGGAGCAGCAGCTGTGCTGGGCGGTGTCACCAGGATGACAGGTTTGTGTTTTAATGTGTAAGGTGTTTGGTAACAACTCACAGACCAGACTGAATTTTTGTTGAATTGACTTATGTAAGAGTCCACTGACAGGCTTTTGTTGCAATAATAATGAACCTTTTAATATAATCAAATTTTAAATATTTCCTTTCGTCAGTGACTGAGATAGAAATTATGAAAGACTTTGATGTGTTCAATCAGGATATGTTGTGATTCTGTCACAGTGTCTTTGGTGGTGATAATGTTTGAGCTTACTGGAGGCGTGCGCTATATCGTGCCACTGATGGCAGCTGCCATGGCCAGCAAGTGGGTGGGAGATGCTCTGGGTCGACAGGGTATATATGATGCTCACATTGAGCTCAACGGCTACCCTTTCCTTGACAGCAAAGAAGAATTTGCTCATACTTCTCTTGCAGCAGATGTCATGCAGCCCAAGTAAGCCTCAGTTTGTAGTATAAAGTCTTTATGAAGCCATTCTTTTTCGTAAAATGTTACCAGGTTTTTTAGGACTAAGATTTGTCTGTCACTAGGTAAAGACCGAGCTTTAAGCTAGTTCTGTTTGACAGGTATAAGTTATGAACCAATATTTTGATCTTCCACTAAAGGTAATTAGCAGATATATCTCAAAATTTCTCTGGTTGTTTCCTAGCCATAATTCTGTAATTTAATTTCTGTAATTTAAATTCTCGTTGTGTGAAGAAAAGTGTAAAATTTGACTTTGTACAGGTGGTGACACTGAATGTAACAGCATTTAAGATAATACAATCTATTCATAATGCTCGATGCATGATAAATGCCCGAGTTCATGGTGATGATCATCCCACAGACAACAGATCACAATTTCCTTGCGAATTATGTAGCACATTCTTTCCTTGGATATCATGTTTCGTACCTTTGCTGCTGGCTAGAGGGATCCTGTTGGTCTCACAGTAAGACACTAGACTCATTGAGAGGTTTCTGGGTTCGGTCCTCGGTCAGGTCTACCAAAGTTACGAGTTTTTGAATGTGAGGAACACTGAGCCGTAATCAATATTCAAAGTCCATGTTAAGCCGTAGGTTCATCTTATTTAATTTTATTGTTATGATCAAACTATTGTTGCGTGTAATAGATTCTGTCCTATGGATGACACCTCCTCGGTAATAGATTCTGCACCTTTGCCTGGATGAGCAGATATCATACCTGTAGGCATTAGATACAGATACACATGCATTATAACTAGAAACCTGCTGCCTTTATATCCTGCAGTTCTGGCCTTATTGTCCAGGTATCTTTGTAGGTGTATTTGGGAACAGTGCGAGAATTTACCCTGTTTATTCAATTTCACACATAAGAATGCACTAATGACAGTCTGGATTGATTTTAATAAAACAAATTTGTTGCAAAACTTTATCACATTACTTTTTAACCAGATAGATGATAAAGTATGTCAGAAATTGTATGTAACCTTGACGTTTTGTATAATACACATTTTCTTCATATGATGGTATTATTTAAAATTGCTTCCAAATTGTATAATTGAAAGTTTACAGTCATCAATCCTTCAGGGATGTTACTGTTAAATACTGATAGACCATCGTAGCTTCCTTTCATGATTATATTCACATCTTGTTTGGCATTATGTAACATACGCAGTTTCTCAGATGAATCATGAATGTGGCTGTGGCAGTAATGGCTGTTAACAGAGTACGTGCTTTTTCAGGCACAGTGAGCCGCTGAGTGTGCTGACTCAAGACTCTATGACTGTGGATGATGTAGAAATTTTGCTGAAAGAGACAGAACACAATGGCTTCCCTGTGGTGGTATCCAGAGAATCACAGTACCTGGTGGGCTTTGTGCTTCGTCGTGATCTCAATCTTGCCATAGGTAAGAATGGAAGAAATAAGCAGTTACTATAAGTAAAACAACTCAAGAAACATCATACTGTCTGTACCAGGGGTGGGGAACCTGTGGCCTTCTAGGTCCTTAAGTGCGGCCTTTAGACTGAATCCAAATTTTTACAGAACAAATCCTAGGATCAACTGAAACTGTGGACCTCCATGCTGCAACCAAATATTCAAATGCTTTCAAACAAAAATCAGACACAACAAAGTCATTAAAAGATTAAACTTTAAAATTAACAAATAGTTTTCATTTTTTGAAATTATTAAGTACATAGTATTTTAATATTTTCCGTCAAATCACAATTTTTAATAAGATAATAAAATATTTAAAATAAATATATATAAATATTAAAATATTAACCTAATTCACAATATGACGCAAGTATACTACCTTATAAGTACATAGTTAGATTTTTACAAAATAATGTACATTTTTAAGTATATCTAATTGAAGTTTCTTGAATGCGGCCTTATTTGATTACAGCTAAATTAATGTGACGTTCCAACATGAAAAGCTTCCCCACCCCATACCAAAGTATAAAAACAAATTTTGAATATAAGATGACTCCACTTCATGGGGGCAAATCTTCAGGGAAAACAATGTTTTTACTTAAGTTCATCTTTTTGTCACTTGAAAGTGGTACTGGAAATTCTGTATTTTATCAGTGTTGTGTATAATTATTAAACATTAACTTAAAATTGATATTGTGCAGTTTGTAAGAATGAAGGGCCCAGTGTAACATTAGACCCTCTTGCCTTCTTTCCCATGGTCAGCTGTGATCATGTTTAGCATGTGTCAGTCACATGATTGATGTTTAAAGAGAGAGGGAGAAACTGGAGCTCACGTAACAAGGGATCACTTGACAATCATGCATTTTTCTATATTTACATCTGATGTCTTGTCTCAGGAGGAAGTTCCCTGTGATGTGTTTTCATGGTAGCTTTCTGTGTTCATGTCTGATGGATATGTGAATGTACTACAGCAAATGCAAAGCGCACACTTGAAGGAATCTGTGGGCAGTCCCTCGTCCTGTTTGTGAACTCCGTTCCACCCCAAGCATCAGGTCCTCCACCACTGAAACTGAAGAAGATTCTGGACATGGCACCCATCACCATGACTGATCAGACCCCCATGGAGACAGTGGTGGATATGTTCCGCAAGCTGGGGCTGCGACAGACGCTTGTCACACATAATGGGTAAGAGCAACACAGAAAGATGCGCATTATAGCCGTTTGTTTGATCAGGAAATTAATTGTTCATAAGGGTTAAAAGTTTCTTCACTGAACGGCATCCTGACCTAGCTCAGTCTAGTTCATATCTTTAGAATGTATTATATCTGCATTGCATCTCATGTTTTTTCAGACGGAAGTAAACTTATAGTGGGAAATTCAGTTTGCTGTATTATGCAGTTTATTTAACACCTTGTATTTAAATAAAAAAAAATTGTAAAACTTCTAAACCGTGTGCCAAGAGACTCGGCTTATTACATCTATCACCTCTTGCTTTGGCTGTTCGTCTGTTTAGCCGATTGCTCTGCCAAGAGACTCGGCTTATTACATCTACCACCTCTTGCTGTTCGTCTGTTTAGCCGATTGCTTGGTGTCATCACAAAGAAGGATGTTCTTCGACATGTGAAGCAGATGGACAACGAGGATCCAAATTCTGTCCTGTTCAACTGAGAGCTACCCCAGTTGGAGAGATGCAGGAATCTGCTCATTGATTTGAACAGCCAGGTGTTTGGAACTAATGCAGCGCACCTCTAGATGCGCTGCAGGTGTGAGAATATTGTGATGTTAAGGCTTCTGTACCGCCACTTTGACAGGAAGTGATGATTAGTACAGTGTACTTTATACTGCATGAATCAGACTTTTGTGGAAGTATTTTGTCCAGATACATCATGCAATGTCGTTAGATGAATTTATAGTTTTGAGGAGTCCGTCTGTGTGCTAGATCTATCTGTTCATGAATTTGTTCATTCATAAAGCAGTGTTATTTTAAATAAAAAAGAAGGTAAGACTAACAAAGGTAGCAGTATGTGTATGTACACTCTTCTATTTATATCTTAATTATTTAGGAATTATTTTAGCAATGCCATAATTTATAAGAATCCTTTTTGTTTCATAGTAGTAAATTTTTACAGAAGAATTTAATTGCATATTAAAAATATTTGCCTGTGGATGTTTTTCTTCCTGTATTCATTATTATTATTATTATCGCACAGTAGGAACAAGTTGGGCCGAGAGGGGGAGATACTGTATATAATATAATGCATTCATATTCTCAAAGTTGTCTGTTGCTTAGAATTTGTATTGGGACTCATTGCATGTTTGTCACTGGCAACTAGTCACTTGTTATCTGTGTTTATAATGACATTTAGAATGAATGTTATCATTATTATTATGATTATTATTATTTTACTGCTGCTGCTGCTATGACCACTATCACTACTGCAGCTGCTGCTGTGGAATTTCACAATTAAATGTATCACGTCTTGACATCTGAAGTTTGTGTGTCCAATTTTTATGTATTTCAGTGGTTTGAATTGAATTGTATATAGAATTCGGAGGCCAAGTTTCTTAAATATGTGGTTTTTCTGCACAGTGTTTAATTGTGCATCGAGGTTACATCACATGAATTCTGTAAAACTGGGCCATTTACAAAGTTTTATTTTGTGGTTATAGCAATTTTTGTCTTTACACAGCTTGTTTGTTTAATTCTTATGTTTGACAGGTTGGTATTGTTTCATTCCTGTGATATTTTTCATACAGGGCAT